CGGCGGAGATTAAAAATCAAGCTCTGGATGGCACGTGATAGTATCTTCCTTTGCACGTGCATCTGTAGATGACGCTGCATGATTCGGCAACGGAGCACTGAAAGCTAATCATCACGCGCTTACACGGCGAACACGCGCCACACGCGTACGAACAATCCGGTAAGCTCGATCCTGTCGGATACATTTCCATTTCTACTTTTTTCCCTATTTCCTCCTTCACCATATAAATAATAATTTACACAACAAAAAAATTACAATTTTAACAGAAACAAATTTTCTTTTTATTTTAAAATCACAATGCAATTATAAAACGACACTTATATAAACTATATCAAAGGGTATTTAAATCTGTAGTTTTATCACACAGAAAAAAAAATAGATACATGAATTTTAAGAGATCCCGAAACTCTTTAATCTTTATGTCGTGCTTTGTTTATTGATTCACGATTGTGTTGTAATATACTAGGGAGGGTTAAGATACGGTTAAAAACCAGTTTTTTCAGTTAGCTTTCTAAATTGGTTTACTTAAAAGGTTGACGTTGTGACCCAAAAAATTCTAATTAACTTAAACCAAAAATGATGGTTTTATTTTAATTTGTCAAAGTAAATGATGGCTTTATTGCGAGATTTGGACCTACCTTGTGGTGTGGTTGAGCTCGTTCTATCCCGACGTTTTTCTCCTTTCCACCATTGACCGTAATTTCTTAAAAAAAGAAATTTAAGTGTTAATTTATATTAAAAATAAAAATGAATATATGTGATAATAAAGAAAGAAAAAGAGGGAGATAGACTTTGTGGCGGCGTGCGAATGCAGTTAACGACCAAAGAACACGCGGCGAAGACTACGACAAGGGACAACAATAACGTGCGTGGAAACTTCTTCATCTTTTATTTTTTTCTATTATTTTCTACAAAAAAAAAAAAATGAAACCTTCTTCACGAGGTAAAGGTTTTTAAAGAGAAGCTTCTAGAAAACGAGAGGAGAAGACAGTGCACTACTACGTGTGTTGTGTGATTTAGTATGATAAAGGTGGTATATAATCTAAATGCAAGTGAGATATATAAGTGTTGTATATATAGTTGGGGAAAAGATAACAAGAATTGGTTTGTGTTATAATAATAAATGTAAAAAAGGTACACCTGATGAAGGTCACATGATTCTCGTCGATTTACTGATATTTTTCTACAAAAATTATTTATTTATCAACGAGCATGCTCATATCATAGACATTCAATTTGTTCGTTTGAATATTTTTGAATCCTAGAACTGTTCAAATGTAGCAGCAAGGCAGGAGATACGGTTGTGCATTGATGATTGAGCCAAAATGACCACCAGTCAATATAAGTTTAACTTTTATGTTTCGAGCCCTCAACAGTTAAAAAAATATTTAACTTTATGTTTCGAAAATTTCAGATATACCAAAAATTGTATATTTGTAATCAACTATATAGTTCAATATAAATCAAAACAAAATTTAGTTCAATTAATATCAATCGGTCAATAACATTGCTGTGGCTCGAGTTTGATACCGTAATTAACGACACTATATATATATCACAAACCACGATACTATATACTCTTAGTTAGTTCAACATAGATTTATGACCAATAAATCATATATGTATACAAGTCTACGGTAGAAGCCCATAATCATCCACTACTAAAATTTTCATAGGTAGTTAATTAGTGCATTGTGAAGATCTCATACAAACCATGGATAAACATGTATAGTTAGAAAAACAAGCATTAATTGTAGGGTATGTATGGGCA